AGTGGCACTACATATAGTGATGATCATGAGGTGCTTTAAATTCGCTTGGACCACAAACTTTGTTAAAATTATCTTTTAAGGAGATAAATCTCATAAAAGATGGAAATTTAAACATCTATTTCTAGATGAGACACTAATACGTTACCTCTTAGCATATTTGCATATAAAAATGCATGTGTAGGGGCAATTGATCCAATACGTGTATAGGGCCATGCTGTCTGAAATTGCCCCTATACATGTACTGGACTAATTAGTCTGGATTTTTTTTTGGGTTTTCATTTACTTACAATTAAATGCTTTTTCGTTTTTCTATTAAATTTTAAGTACTTGATGAGCCATGGATTTGAACTCAAAATGTCCATATACTGCCTACATTCATTTTGATTTGGTACAACTTGCAAATCTTGTTAAATAAACTTTTATGTATGCAGGTTAACTTTTTGAGCCAAATGCGTCTAACTCATAAAGGAGATGGGCCGAAGGTGGCAAAACGTTTAATAGATGTTTATTTTGCACTTTTCAAGGTAATAATGAACTGTTTTTGCTTTTCAATGTATTTATCATCAATAATAGTTATGATTGCAGTCCCTAATACACTAAATCATTGCATTTTAATTTGATGATTTTTTTGGATGTTGCTGATGAGGAGACAAGCACTTATTAATGTAGGATTTGTAATGCAGCTAATGTTTGAAGTGTATCATCAATTTATCACAATGGCCTAAATTATGGAAGTAGAAAATGAATATTCACAAAGTAATATTTCAGGTACTGATTACTGAGGCTGGTGGTGGTGAAAAGATGGATAAAAGTGGAAAAGCAGGGGTTAAGAAACCACTCAGTTCTCTTGAGGATAGCAAAGTGGAGAGTTCATCAGATTCTCATGTTGAATTGGATTCACGCCTTCTATCAGCTCTACTGATGGTTAGGACAATTACTTCTTAGCTTGCATAACAATGTAGCTATGCCATCTCAGATGCTCCTCTTGGTGTCTTTACGAGGTTTTAATTACACATAGAATAAAAAAAGAGAGAAAAAGAAACTAGCATGAATTTTGCGCTTAGAAAAAGATTTTGCTTTTTCAAAGAACTTACTGACTACTTCTACATCCCTTCCTTTGTCATCTTCACAGGGAGTCAATAGAGCATTTCCCTTTGTCTCAAGTAATGAGGCTGATGACATTGTCGAGGTCCAAACACCAATGCTTTTCCAACTGGTAAGCTCAAAGCTTTGCTATTCATTACTTGGAAGATTAGCTATATCCTGTGGAATTTAATGTGCCCGTTCATGCAGGTTCATTCTAAGAATTTTAACGTAGGAGTTCAAGCATTGATGCTCCTCGATAAGATCTCATCGAAGAATCAAATCGTCAGTGATAGGTTTTACAGAGCCTTATATTCAAAACTTCTACTTCCAGCTGCTATGAATACTTCTAAGGCAAGTGGAGCTGGATTTATTTACACTCGTTATTTAGAGTTATTTGTTAATCAAACTTCATTATGGTTTTTGTGAAACTTCTTACATCAAAAAGTTCCCTGTACTCTTCATGGGTGCAAGGCCAAATTTTTGTTTTTAATGGTAACAAATTACAGTTTGCTGTATGATTTCAATTTTTTCACTTAATACCTGAAGGCTACAAAACGGAATTATAGCCACCAAGAGGCACACAGTTGATTAGTCTCTTTCATTGTTTCTTTGTGGTTCTAACAATTATCCTCCTTGTGGTGTATATTGGATTCAGTAAGAGCTGGGTGGTTTTATACCTGTGTCCTTAGGACACAGATTCCTCTTCTTCCACTTTATATGATTATTCAAACAGATAAAGTGAAACAATGCATCAATAAGAAGTTAGTTAGATAAGCTCTTTGATCCTTGTTTGTTGACGTTGAAGTTTCGGATGCGACAATTTTTATCCTTTCATTCAATTATATATCTTCCTGTCTTTATATGGCTTGTTTTTCAGGCAGAAATGTTTATTGGACTTCTTCTGAGAGCAATGAAAAATGATGTGAACCTGAAGCGTGCAGCTGCTTTTGCAAAGCGTGTACTGCAGGTATGTGCTTAACTATATTCTTACGTGTTTGCCACATAAGAGCGCAGTTCCTTCTAGATATCTACACATATTTCTTTTCTGTTGAATATCTTGTTAACAAAACCCCACAAATTGGAATTTGCGTCTGTTGTGCTACTTCATTTGGAGGGATTTTTGAATCTTAAGTAAGCTTCTTTGAGGAAAACGTGCATTGACGATCCTTGTGCTCCACTTATGTGGATGTTCTAACTATTTACTGATTTGAACAGGTTGCCCTTCAGCAGCCGCCTCAATATGCATGTGGATGCCTCTTCCTCCTCTCAGAAGTTCTTAAAGCAAGACCCCCCTTATGGTAAGCCTGGTGCTAATTTGGAGATCTGCCTGTAGATTTTATTCAACATTGTCAAATAAACACTTTTTTCACCATCCCCAAACAGGAACATGGTGCTCCAGAATGAGTCAGTTGATGATGAGCTTGAGCATTTTGAAGATGTTCAGGAAGAAACTAATGATAAACCCACCCCTGTCTCAGAGAAACAAGAACTTGATGTTGAGCTTGCTCACAGCAGTGACGCTGCCAATTCTGATCATGATTCTTCAGAAGATGATAATGACTCTCCTGCCTCTTATTCTGAAGATGAAGGTTCTGATGAAGCAGAAGAGTTTCTTGTGGGAAATGATTTAACGAACTCCAAACCGCCTCCTACTCTTAATGGGCAACCACCACAAGTACCGTCTGAGAGGTCTTGGCTGCCTGGAGGCTATGATCCACGGCGCAGAGAGCCCTCTTATTGGTCAGTTGTCTTTTCTTAGCTTCTCTACATTGTATAAATGCTAGAATCCATATTTCTTCTGGCTACCAGAAAAATGAATTAAGTCAATAAAAAATGAATTAAGTCAATAAAGACTTGTGCAGTACGTAATATTTTGTAAGTAAAGGATAATGAAGGATAAATAAAGGTCAAACAAGTTTTCTTCTGTAACAATCTTCTGCGGAATTTCTTATGCTTTGCACCCTTTATTTTTGCTTATATTTTCTTTTAACTTTCTAATTCCAATCTTTACGAGTGAACAGCAATGCGGATCGTGTGAGCTGGTGGGAGCTGACAGTACTTTCTTCACATGTGCACCCTTCAGTTTCTACCATGGCAAAGACGCTACTCTCTGGGGCCAATATTGTCTACAATGGAAACCCTCTGAATGACCTATCACTTGCTGCTTTTCTGGACAAGTTTATGGAGAAGAAACCAAAGCAAAGCACATGGCATGGTGGTTCACAAATTGAACCTGCGAAAAAGGTCAGCTTGTTTTCTGAACTTCCATGGACTTATTATCCTTTTGCCTTGTGCCTTCACTTAAGTGAAGATGTTGTTGTCTTTTCACATACTCTTGAATGATTGGAGTGCCATAGTTATGGGCACTGTCCAAATATCAATCCCGTTAATCTGCAATACTGACTGAGTTTTCTTGTTCCAGCTTGACATGACGAACCAGTTAATTGGACCAGAGATTCTCTCATTGGCCGAGGAAGATGTAGCTCCGGAAGATCTTGTCTTCCACAAGTTCTATATGAATAAGATGAATTCTTCAAAAAAACCAAAGAAGAAAAAGAAGAAGAAAGCAACAGAAGATGATGAAGCTGCTGCAGATTTGTTTGACGTAGATGGTGGCGATGGTGATGACAGTGATAATGAAGAGATTGACAATATGCTGGATTCTGCTGGCCTTTCTACTGAAGCAGATGGTGACTACGATTACGATGATCTTGACCAAGTTGCCAATGAAGATGATGAAGATTTGGTTGCCAATGTCAGTGATACCGAGCTGGACCTGCCATCGGATAGTGGGGACGGAGAAGATTTTGGAGAAGATTTTGATGCCAATGCAGACGATGATCCAAGTGATGATGATGCTATTGATATTGATATAGGAGATGCAGACGACGGCATGGACGGCGATGAAGAGGAGGAGAATGATCAAAGGAAAAGCAAACGGAAGCGCGGGAAGTCTGCAGCATCCCCCTTTGCAAGTCTTGAAGAATATGAGCATTTGCTAAATGATGTTCCTGCTGAAAAGGAATCTAGAAGGAAGAAACCCAAGTCTCGAAAGAAGAGAAAATCATCCGACTAAATCCTTCGTTGGCGTTTATTTAAAGCCAGGAAAACCTCAATTTTTGCCTTGAGCCTCTCATATATTATAACTTTTAGCCAGAAAAACATCCCAAATTTGTTTACGATATATAGTTGTACCATTAACTTTTTTTTCAGCCGTAGGCATTTCCATGAAAAGCACCTCCATATTATTGTATGCTAGGCCCTGTTTGTTTCATGAGAAAGGAGGCTTAGGGATGGGAAATCAATTTCTTATGTTTAGTAAGTCAAGGCATGAGAAATAGTTGCATGGCGGAAATGAGGCTTAAGGATGGGAAATCAATTTCTTACGTTTGGTAAGTCAAGGCATGGGAAATAGTTGCACGGCACATGAGAAAGTAAGGGTGAAAATGAAGCACTTCTACCCACTTTGGTTTTGTTTTCCTCCGTGAGAAAGTTTGGGAAAATGAAAAAACATTAGTGCACACTTTTTATGATTATTTTGTCCCTATTAACTATTTAGAATTACAATATAGCACTAAATGTATTCTTTTCTGATTTGATTTTATATGGATATAATTAAAAAATTAAACAAACTTTGTTTTACATTCCTATACAAATTAATACAAATTGAACATGTAAGAGGAAATAAGGTGGCATTTCCTTGTTACTTTTCAGGATTATCAAACATGGGAAATAAATCTTCCATTTTTCATTCCTTGAGAAAAATATATGAGAAATTATTTCCCATATAAGAAATGATTTCCCATCAAATCTTTTTTGAGAACTAAACGGGCCGTATTGTTAACGATTCAAACATTCCAAACTAATAGGCAAAACCTAGACATGCATAATACTTGCTGCTTTTGGACTCTGAGCAATCAACTTTTAGTTGTATATAATAATACAAACCAGCATTCTCTGAAGGGCAGAAGTCATTCAAAACAGAGAAATCTTCGAAGTAACGCAACGAGGAACCTAAAACCTAAAGCCCAAAACCCTAGTATGACAGCAAACCACAAACAGGCCAATGTAAGTCTGCTTCAAGAGATAGAAACTTCAACTGTTTTGGGCTTGGGAGGTGGAGGAAGCTTCTCAACCACCACAGTGAGAACCCCATTTTCGCATTTGGCAGATATGGCTCCTACATTCGCATTTTCGGGCAACCTAAACTTCCTCGACAGCTTCTGGGGTGCTCTCCTCTCAAGCCTCAGATACTTGCAGCCTTCCTCCTCCCCATCTTCACGTTTCCTCTTCCCATTGCTTCGGATCACCAGAGTGTTTTCATCTTCAACTGTTACCTGCATTGCAACCACAAATTTGTTACCACTCACATAATTCATCAACATAAACCATAAAAAATTTGTATACAAAAATAAAAAACCAACCACTCACACAATTCGTTCTCCGAAAGACTGAGAATTTCAGGAGAGGAAGTAGAAAATAGGTCAGATTTGGACAAGTGGGAAAGTGGGAAATTACCTGAATATCAGATTTGGACAAGCCAGGCAAGTCCAAGAAAAATATATACTCCTTGGGAGAGTCCAAAATGTCCACTGGAATGCTAGCCGCTCCTTTGTTCTCGTTGTTGGTTTCGTGGGCCCGAGAAGGGAACATGAACTTGTCAATGGTTTCAGGGAAATTGAGCAGTTGGTTCACTGCTGTTGCAAAGTCCCCATTGAAGGCACTCGAATCGGCTACTCTGCTCATTTTTCCAAAGACCCAGAAACCACAAGACACACACTCTGTAAACCACAAGAGCAACCCATTAGCAACTAAGCAATTAAAAATGGGTAAGTTTGAAACTTGCGCTGACCCATTAAAGATCAGAGCTTGAACACTGAGTTTATAAGCATTTAAGGACATTTTGAGCTGTTTGTTTCTCGGGAAACTAGTAGAGGAAGAGAAGGAAAATGCGTATAATTCATTCCAGTAAAAGAAAACGGAAGCTAAGAATGAGAATCTTCCAGGAATGAGACGGCAAAGACTCTTACATGAAAGAGATCTTAGATTCGCGCGGGAAAGCGTTTGATCTAAGGAGAGATTTTAGCAACTGATTGTTTGGTTGGCAAGAAAATTATGGATATAAAAAGGCATGGAGAGGAAAGCTCGCGAAAAATAGAGGGAAGATTACCGAAAGGTCTAGAAGAATGGCGCGGTTTGCTTTGCACGAATAGATCGCGGATATTGGAAGATCCTGACCTTACACGTCTAGATTTCTGTAGTCGGGGAACTCTCACACAGTCGTATTGGTTTCTACGTGACATGGGCCAGGAGCCACCACGTGGCTGAATGATGGTCACGAGTATAGCCGGGCGGCTATACGTTTAAAATATTATATTTAAAGAGTATAGCCGCGCGGCTATACGTTTAAAATATTCGAATCTATGTTAGGAGTATAGCCGCTATACTTAAAAAATATTATATTTAAACAGTATAGCCGAGCGGCTATACGTTTAACATATTCGAACATATATTTCAGGAGTATAGCCGCTCGGCTATATGCTTTAAATATTAATATATTTTACAGCCGCGCGACTGTACTTCCCACTGGATAAAGGATTGAGTCCACCTCAGCCGTGTATGCCATTCAAATTTTGACACGTTTCGTTCTTTTTTAAAAATTCTACAGCTAGACTTGAATTATTTTTACACTTTGTAAATAAAACTAAAACCAAAATTTAAAAAAAAAACTTTAAAATTTTCTTTTATATATATTTGTGTAATCTCATTTCGCAATTTTTTTAATTGATCATGTCGAATAACAAGTATATGACTAAAGTTGGGGTCGGTGCTATATTTATCAAGATGATTAAGGTGATATTCTTGGACTTTGGTTTTGAAAAACCACTACACAAAAATGATTAATTTTTTTCTTTTCAAAACTTAAAACGTAAGAGCATTCATAATCATGCTCTCTATTTTTTAGTTAAATTTTAGTTAAAAACATAATAAAGTTATTTTAAGAGCTCTCAATAAAATTTAAACTTCAATCATGCTCTCTAGTTTAGGGAGTCATAAATGCTATAACTCTTTTTTAATTGGTCAATCTCTTTTAAAAAATAATTAGTATTAATTAAAGGTTTGAAATACTCATTAAATAAAGCAGAATTAAATTATAGAAAGCCACTAGAAGTCTTTTCTCTCTCCTTATATTTAGGAGCTCCTAGAGATCTCCTTATTTTAGGAGGTGGATAGGGAGCATGGTTGAAGTTAGGAGGTGATTTAGGCCAAGTTTGGGATTGCTGTCACTTTTAAAAAAAGTTGCTTCTGCTGTGCTTTGAAAATAATTAGCTATAAAGTAAAGCAACTCCATGTTTGGTAAACAATATTTTTAAAGTGCTATTAGTACAAAAAGCAGTGTAAAAAACGTTTGGTAAATTTTAATATAAAATTATTGTAACTGTGAATAATGACTAAAATAGACATGATGTTAAAAGTGTTATGTACTAATCATGTGGTGGTAGTTGTAGTGATGGAGTGGAGGTGGTGGTGGTGATGAAGGTGGAGTTGGTGGTGGTGGTGGCGGAGGATGAGGAGGAAGATGTGGTGGTGGTGATGTTGGTTGTGGAGGTGGTGGTGGATTTGGAGGAGGAGGTGGTGGTGGTGGTGGATGAGGTGGTGGTGGTGGTGGTGAATGATTAGTACAAAAAGCAGTGTCAAAACCGTTTGGTAAATTTTAATATAAAATTGTTGTAACTGTGAATAATGACTAAAATAGACAGGATGTTAAAAGTGCTATGTACTAATCATGTGGTGATAGTGGTGGAGTTGGAGTGGAGGTGGTGGTGGTGATGAAGGTGGAGTTGGTTGTTGTGGCAGTAGTGGTGGTGAGGATGGCGGTTGTGGAGGTGGTGGTGGATGTGGAGATTTTGGAGGAGGTGGTGGTTGTGGTGGTGGTGGTGGTGGTGGTGGAGGTGGAGAGGTGGTGGTGGTGGAGGAGGTGAAGGAGGTTGTGGTTGTGGTGGTGGTGGTGGAGGATGAGGAGGAGTAGGATGTGGTGGTGGTGGCGGTGGTTGTGGAGGTAGTGAATGTGGTGGTGCAAGTGGTGGAGTTGGATGTGGAAGTGGAGGTGATGTCATTTGTAAAATGAATGATGGTATTTTGGGAATTTAAAAAATTCATTAAATGTTCATCTCTGCTTTTTTTGAAAGTAGCTTTGGAAAGCAACCCAGAGCGTGCTTTTAAAAGCTGCTGTCAAAAGGCCATTACTTCTAAAATAATCGGGATATTTTCTTTTTACCAAACACCTTAAACTGCTTAACTTTAAAGTGAAGCAGGTTTTTGGGAAAAAAAAGCAATCCCAAACGGGGCCTTAGGGAGCTCATTATGCATGCTCTAACGCTTTTCGCATGGCGTTATTTATCAAGATATGTGTTAAGATGTATTCAGTTAAGAAGGTGTGTATTAGTATTTCTCTATGCAAAAGGGGCTAATTTTTCACCCAAAAAAAATAAAAATAACTAAATGACCCTTCGCAGTAATTTTCACTTTGAATCACTTAATCCGGATGCTATCTCTCATCCGTTAATTGTCATTTTCTATATAATGATTGGAAAAACAGTATTTTTCTTAATTAATATGAATAGACAAATAAGGTATTATAATAACTTGGGCCCTTCATAAAACATTTATTTTCTTCATTCTTGGACAAAGTGTCTCAAAAGAGGTCAATCTCTTATGTCTCAAAAGATGTACATACAAAATGTCCACTTTGACTAGACATCAGAGATTTGAACTTGAGATTTTGATTTTTCATCATCCATCCTCATCCCAATTTGTGGTCTTGTAGTAGGTAGCGTACAGGATGATTTGCACCACACCGGAAACTGCTCCCAAACCATTTGGAAGCTATCAAATTGTCATTGAAAGAAAAGAGTTAATTAGTTAAAAATAAATGAAAAAGAAAAAAGGTTTTGATTAGTTTTTTTTAGAGAATGCGATCAAATTTAAGGAGTGCATAGATGGTCCAGACAATTCACTACTACAAAAAACACTTTGCGCGACGAAATAAATTTGTTGTGCAAAGTACAATTTCGTGACAAAATTTTGGTCACGCAAGTTCTGTCGCGCAAAGATCGTGAAGAAAGGGTTTGCGCGACGAAAAATATTATTTGTCGCGCAAAGTCACTTTGAGCGACGAATACTAACGTCGCTCAAAGCTACTTTACGCGACGAATCTTAATCACTTTGCGCGATGAATTCTAACTACTTTGCGCGACGAATACTAACCCCTTTGAGCAACGAATACTAACTACTTTGCGCTATGATATACTTTGCGCGACGAATCCTAATGTAGCGCAAATCTTTGCGCGACGAAATATTCAATTTTTTTTAATTTTTGTTTTTAAAATTTTTTTAATTAAAATAAACTAGTTTAATAATTTGGGAGACAAAATATTTTGTTGCGCAAGGTTTTTGACATTTTGTTTTATTATTTCTCTTATATCAAATTTGCGAGTGAGAGGAAAAATGGCATGTACCTAACGCTCTTTGTCTTGATGACCATTTTCTGCCACCCAAAAATCATGTAAGTCTATTTCTTACATATTTAAACCAAGACATTCAAAATGCAGCATGTATGATGTCATTTGATCCATATCCCCCTCAACACAACATGGAAAGAAGCGAAGCCATAGGCAAAACCCTAAGGTCCCCGCCTGAGCTACGCGATGGTCAGTTAGGTTGAAGGTATGATTAACTTTTTTATGAATAGGTAGGTTAGAATATATAGAAATTATACATACCATGACTGTCAAAGTTGAATTATACATAATGATATTGAGGACAATACACAAGATCCCAATTATCATAGACCGGCCTTTAGTGTGATGGAAAAAGTGTAGAGAAATGAAAACCACAACGGCAAAGAAGACAACTTCAACTAGAACAGCAATGATGATGTTTCGCTGAAGAAAAAAAAACCAAAATGTTATAAGATACTAATATGTCTAAGAACACATAATTTAGTGAATTTATTGAAAATTATTTATGTGCTTTTTTCCGGGAGAGAATACGAAAAAGATGGCAATGTAAATAAATTCAATGACAAGTCCAGTGCCATTAATCGTAACAACAAGAAGGTTGTCAGGATGGACTATGGGTAGACCATAGAATGACCACAAAGCACAATTGAGCAATGTTACTATGTAGGGATCCGGCTTGAACTCAGCAACTGATTTTTGTTTGATTATCTTCACAAATGTTGGGCTGCAATATTTCCATCCGTGATGGCCATCATGTAACACGATTAGATTTTTGTGATTAAGAGAGAGAGAGAGAGAGAGAGATTATATTGGGGAGACAAATAAGCCAAAAGAGATGACATTGCCTGTGCTGGAAGTAACAAGAAAACTGATGCTAGCTCTAGAAAAAATGAAAATGGACAAAAGAAAGAGAAGAAATAAAAGCAAACATCAAATTTACTGACCAATAATGCCGACAATGGTTCTAATCATATCGGTATCCATTTGTACGTGTAGACAGTTAAAACGAGGAGTGAAGGCCAAAGAGAATTAGCCACAACGAAACTTGATGTCTTGATGAGGATTTGAAGAATTTAGGTTTATTTAAAGCAGTTTTTTTGTACAGCTTTTGTTTGGAAATGAGATGTGACGCAGATGAGGTGTAAGTGACATGCCTCAATTGTCATCCACAGAAATGCTTATTTCTGTTTCTTTTAAACTAAACTTCTTCTATCACTTTTAACTTCATTTTTGTTTATGTTCAGTTAATTTCTGTTTCTTTGAACCTGTGACATGCCGAGTAATATCTTTTTTTTTTTTTTTTTTAAACAAAAGTTTAGGGGGAGATTAGCTACTTGAACTACCAGTGCCAGGACAGACTCACAACCTCGAGCCGAAAGTAATATCTCTTTTATTTTTATTTTTATTTTATGTATTTATTGGATTTGAAAGGAGAAACAGATCTCGACAAACCCATAACAGAGGAAAGGCAACACAAACAAACGAGGCCCCAAAAGAAATAACAACATAATACCAAAAAGGGGAAAAAAACAGTAAAGTGACTTTTCAAGATTGATTGAGATTGAGAGATAATTTAATTTGGGTTGGCTTGGGTCGGTTTTGGTCCCAATTTGTAATTTAACCCAATATATAGTGGTTTATTATTTTTTAGACCCAAGATTCATTCATTATTAGGCCAACTCAATCCTTTTGTGATCGAGTTGGCTTGTT